TTTAAGCTGTCTTCTGCCAACAACTTGGCCATTCCATGAAAACAATGGTGTTCCATATCTTCCCCAATCACTGGACGTGAGCTCATTACAAGAATTTGATGAAAAACAATGTCTTGATGGGTCCCTAACAAACCAACTATTGTCCTCCAACTGGTAGCAAGTTCCTTCTTCCGACGGCCCTTCAATGACCACTCCAGGGGCTGCCATAGCAGTAGCTTCAGTACCAAGAGGCATGTTCACATAGCATGATGTTCTCATCACATCTTTATCAGGCATCGAATTACCCAATGTTGGTCCTTCCATGTCACCAGAATATCTTGGATTCAGGTTTGGTGTACGGACATATGAAGCTTGTTGAACCTGTTCATCGGAAACAGAAACACCATCATTGAAGTCTGCCACTGGATCTGCAAGCTCAACTAGAACACTTGAAGTGCTTGGGTCCTTTAGATCACTATTAAGATTCATTTTCCCAAGGTCAGTTTCCAACCTCTTAGTAGTGCAGCCATCAATTATACTTTTTCCCTTGCTGTTAATAGAATCAGCATGAATACCAGTAGCAGACTCAGAACCAGAAATTCCATGCGAAGGATGTTCAACCTTGCAATGAGCACGATTTGCCAGGAATGTGTGCAAAGCCAATTCAAACCTTTTTATAATGTTACAGAGAAGTGTTACACAGCTTACAAAGTGCAATCTGTAAACCACAAAACCCAAATAAAAAATTGGAACCACTTACCGTTTCTCTTCATTGGGTATCCATAGATCATTAGAAGTCAATAATGCATGTAATGTTTGCGATGAAAGTTTAGGAAGCACCTACAACAAGCAAATGTTTTAGTCCAACCTTATCCTCGTACTCATAGTAAACATATAATAAAAAAACAGAACAGTAAAAAATACAACACCAAGCACTTCTATTTGCCTCATTACCTCTTTCAATTCCATGCCACCACTTTGACAAAGGTAACCCCAGCAAGCAGTTCTAACACGCTCCCCATGAATGCCATAGTCTTGGTTCTCCGCAAACACCTAGCTTACAATCAATTATAAACCACTAATAACCAACCAAATATTTTTACAGTATTAAATTTCACAATGAGGCTATACAGTCATCTGGATCCTTGAACCTGATAAGCCAAGAAGTTTGAAGTCCACAGCTCAGATATAATGAAATCTGTACAAATTCCACACAAATCCTACACCAAATGAAACACACCAAATGAAATATATTGCAAAATTTAATAAGCAATAACTAAGAAGTCACCAACTTATCCTGTAAACATCATACCTGAAGGTCGAGAAAGGATGCAGCAGCAAGAACACGAAATGCATTATTATCATTAAGCTTAGGGTGGTGGCCGTATAGGTACGCCAAAGCCATTGCAATTGCCTCATCATTAACATTTTTATCATCAACATGCAGAGTCACAACAGGAGCACTGGCTTCTTTCCAAGGCCCGTGAAGCATGTTCCTAACAAAAGCGAATAACGCAATATATAACTGTAATCTTCTCAGACCGACAAAAATAAAAAGTTTATTCTTCTCAGATCAACAAAATAAAGAGCTAAATAGGTATATAGGATCAACGCAAAATCTTTTACTATCAATCAGAAATCATCCTCCTTAGTTTGGCTTTATTATAGTTATTATAAATTCCAATATAGTCACCATACATGACAAACTATGAAAGGATAAAAACTTTTTATTTACTACAAGTTACTATACAGAGTGTAGGTTCATAATTCACACAACAATCACAGTAAACCTACAATATAAAGTTATGTGCTAAGCAAAATAAAGCACAAAGTCTGGGAATCGAAAAATAAATAAAGTACGATAAATAAAATTCTTGTTTAAATTGTTTAAATAAATATCGCTCTGTGACCCTTGTTTTCTACAACTAAGAAAGAGAGAAACAATGAAACAATTGTTTTCTACAAAGGGAAGAAACACGACCAGTGAAACAAAAGAGAGAAAGATAGAGAGGATGATTTACCAACCATCATCGTCGCCCTCGTTTCAATTCCTCTTAAACCATCCCAAACAGATTGTTCAAGTGAATGTTAAAGTTGATGGATGTAGAGCAATTACAATCACAATCACAATAATAAAATAAAATAATTGAGTTAATCAGTTACCTGAAATAGGAACTGCGCGAAAGGATAAGCCGATGAAGGTGATAAGTGGAACCCATTGCATTGACGACGATGTCGGAAAAAGAACCCGAATTGAAGCCTTCGATTTGGACATGCTCGCAGAGGGAAGCGAGGTTGCAATCCACTCCGCGCAACTCTGCCGAGGCCCCATCGGAGTGCTGCGGCGGCGGAATGGCTGCGATTTTGGTTTTTGGATGCTCCCGATACTGAGGCTCTTCCATGTTGCACTGCACATCAAAAGCACACTCTCATTCTCAATAACAGTGTTGATCGATCCAACGGTTTTATTAGCGCGACGATTTCATTTTCACTGTTTTAATTATAATAATAATAATTACTATAATTATACTTATAATAACCTTTTTCTTCTTCCTCTGCCTTTTATGAATCTCTCCCAATTCAATTCACTGTCTTTGGGTCTTTGCAGATTCAGTGCACCACTTCTTATTGATCCAACCTTGTTTTTTGGATCATTGTAATAATGTTTTCTTTTTCTCTGTCTGAAAAGGGAAAGCTAGACCATTTTGCAACTTACTTTTCAACACAATACCAACTTACAAATAACACCATGGAAATCTAAATACATAGAAATAAGATTGAAAAAATTGAATACAAAGAAGAATATTACAAAATTTATTTTATTTTAAAATTGTACAAAATATTTTGTTTAAAATTAAAAAAAAATACCACATTTTGAAAGATTTGGTTAGAATACAAATGTTTTTAAAATAGTTTTAATATTATTTTGAAAAGGTAATGGATTGTAAGAAAATTTGTGATTAATTTTTATAATTTAAATTTCAAAATAGTTATAATGTAATTAAAGTTCAATTTAAAAGGTATAACTTAATATATTGTAGTAATTTAATATTTCCCTGACAAATAATTATTAATAGTTAAGCTAGATAAATATTTTACATATTGTCTATATCATTATCTAAACATTTTTAAATAATTTTTTCTCTTTATAACGAAGCATATTATATTTACAAAATCTTAAAAAACAAAACTATTAACAGTGCTTATGTACACATATAATTTTCTTTCTTTTCAGTCTAGTTCTGCTTGTAATATCACAATTGATATATTAAACTATACACATATTACAATCATATATGTGTATTATGAAAATTTCTAACTTAAACCTAAGTTTGACGTAACCCATATTACTAAAGAAATTATATGACATTAAAAGGATGATGTGATCAATGATGAATCATAAATTTTCCATAACTGAAAAATATAAATTTTGACCCTGTAAAATTGCAATCAGCAAAATTTTTTTTTCTTCTATTTATAAATTTATATTAATGCTTAATTAGTACTTTTATTTCAATATCCAAATTATTTTTAAATATCTTTTTTAATTCAATTTTATTTAAAATCATGTTGGTTCTTTCTCTAAAATCATGTTGGTTCTTTCTTTAAATTCTTAACTTTTTATTATTATTTCAATGTTTTATAAAAATTAAATAAATGATATATCAAATATTCAATATAAAAATAATTTATTCAATATAAATATGTTGAAAGAAATAATAATTATATAAATATTAAACTATAATATCAAATAATAGTCAAAAGAGAATTAAATAATTATATAAAATAATAAATAAAATTTCATAATAATCAAATTTTCTATTAATTTTATAATTATTAATAAAACAAAATTAATATATATTAAAATATTTTTTAAAATTATGAAAGAAAACAAATATTCAGCTTTAAAAATATTTCAAATATTTACTTTCTTTCTCAATATTATAACAAAATATTTATTTTTCACATTAATAAAAGTTATAAATCATTAATTAAATAAGTGAAATCACACATAAACAACTTAAACTATTAATAAGTTGAATTTAGAAATAAATATTTCATTATTTTGAATTTATCACAGTAACATTAAATTATTTTATTATATTTATATAAAATTAAAACTTCTAATCCTTCCAATATCTATTATTTATGACATTTATTAAAAAAAAAAACTTCTAATGATTTTGTCGACAATTTTCACTTAAAGAATATCAATAATTGACAAATATTTATCTATTTTTCTTTTTTTTTCTTTGAATTTTTCAATAAAGTTTAAGTAAATGTATTTGAAACTAGTTAACCATAAAAGATTATATATCACGTTGCTGAAAAATATTATGATAGTTAGAGAAAAATATTTAAGATTACAATAAACGACAAATAAAAAAAAAACTTTGTTTCCATGATTAAGTAATCATATGGAACAATATCAGTGATACATAATTTGGTAATAGAAACTCATATCAATAACACAAAATAATTAGTTGAATGCAAAAAATCTTTAAAATTAGAAATAACTCAATTCCTGTCGTTGATGACATTGAATCAATGCAATAAAAAAATGTTTTATATAATTACTTAGATATTATTTAATGAGAACAATGTTCATAAGATAGTGAGTGTGTTGAAATTTTGACAATGAGTGTAGCTAATGACTAACATTATCTATCCTCTGAGTTTGATTAAATGAAAAATATGAATTAATTTGTAAAAATTCCAAGTAAACTTGTATTAAAAGTTGTATTTCTGTTTTTTTGTTATGAATATTAAAGTCGTAATGAAGTTCAACTACAATTGGAATTTATTCGATTGCAGATAAACATTTATCTCCCATAATAATTAATTATGATACTAAATTATGTTTTTCAATATTTCACAATTAATCAATTAGTCAAAAGAATAATAGACTATTTGAACTAAAATTGATTTTCATGATTTAACAGTGTTCAGAAACAATCTATAGTCATATACTTAACAGTGTTCAGAAACTTCAATGTGTAGAAACAAACACTCGTGAGGAGTAATGCTTTAATAAAATGTATTATTCTTGCAATCTGAATTTATTTCCAAAATTTCAGATTTGCATAACAACTACAGTATGAATCTCGGCACACCCCTCACCAACTCCCAATAACCCTATCAACTCTAAAAGTACGCACGGACACTTCCCTTTGGAAGACACGTGGATATTGAAACTAAAATACCCGGAAGAATTTCTAAAAGGAAGACCATCGAAATTCAATCAGTAAAAAGCATACTTCAACTCTTTGCCAGCAGTTAGCTCCATCAAGTCCAACTCCATGAAGTTCAACTTTTGACTCTGATAGTGAAACAGTGAAATTTCACCAAGTGTCCACGTATACCATGACCACCAATTGTGGTAGAGTTGCCGGTTCTTCAAGACCTCACCATGGACATTTACTGTGGGACTTGATAAAGTAACAGTCATATCAATGCGATGATACAGTTTGACCTTGTTCTATTATAGCACGCAGGGCCATCTCAACATCAACAAGTGGTTGCCCAGCATAGAGCTGAAGCTGCCTCTTTTTTACCACTACCACTTTCTTGGCATGAGATAGTATTTCTTCATTCAGTTCCTGCAAATTATTAGTGCACTTCAGGACAAGGTATGTATCAAACATGATTGTACATTTTACTGCTAACTATAGGTTCATACAACTGGCCGCTAAATGATCAATTCCAATTTTCATATGCCCGGTTTTGGATAGTAATGAGACACTTCAGTTATATGTTAGAACATGTAAGATCCTTACTTTAATTGACACTGGAACTGCATCAGCACTAAAAGATTCCAAATCTTCGAAAAAGGATTGCAATAGAAAACAGAAATTGTTGGCATCAGCACGATCCTCAAAAGCAACAGTAAAGGAATCATCACTCTGGTCCTGTTCATTAGATGTGAGCATTATGTTATAGAAACCTTCTGATCCATCCTTGGAATCTCTTCGCATGAGAATGACCTTCACAAATATAGATAGTGACTTTATAATCAGATGCAACTAGATACATATGGGACATGTATAATGACTAAATGATAGCTCAAGCAAACTTATACCAGTACCAAAAGAGTTCTACAGTGTATTTGCGTCCTACAACATGCAGGACAATGACTTTGTCAAAGATTTTAAGGATTAACTCATATAAACTAGTTGATATAAAGAGAAAATTTTACAGGTTTCACACACTTAACAATAATGAAGTTTTGAAGATTCATAATGATGAAGTGTTGGGTGTTACATTGAAAAATTAATATAGGAAGTTAGAACAGTCAACACAAACAATAGTGTTACCCATCAAAATTAAAACACAAATAATGTCTATAATATAAACACAAATGATAAATATAATAGAGAATCTAGTTCAGATTAACATGATAAATATAATGAGTTAAAGTGTTGCTTTAGAACAACGTGATGAGTTTCTCTCCCAAGATATGTCAATCAGTCTAGTGCAAAAAAGATTCACGAACTCGTGAACATTAAAAACTCCAAATATTTCAATTTAAAATATGAATGAATTTTATACGTTCTCACTGTATGTTTTTCCACCCTCGAGGAGCTATTTACAAGAAAAACAGCAACCAATGTCACAATGTGCGGCATTGTAACATAAACAAAATGATCACGTTAAAAACAATTTGTTCAGTTCCCAGATTTTTGTATAACGTTATAAAACTTAACAGAGTTGGATAGCAAACGCCAACGCGCAGGTATTGCTACTACAAAATTTAGGATTAAAAATTATGAAAAATATTGGGTGATTTACTTATTAAATTTTTAGTTTAAATTTTACATTACAAATATAAAATATTTTCTAATATTGGATAGACATATTATGCAACTGAAAAACAAGAAAACAGAAAGAAATTTTCTTGCACTCACAAACACATAACGGAGGTTCAGCCACCACAAATCAGTCTCTGTATCTGCTTGCTTAACTTTGAGTTTGATTCTGTTAGCTGGTGAACGTTTTTCAGTTAATCCATGTCTTGAACTGCCATTTACACTGTGCACACCATCCTTTTCAAAACTTATGCCTGTGTCCTGGTTTTCTTCCACAAAACCCTGAGAGTTTTGTGTACTCAAGTCTCTTGATTTTCTTGACTGTATTACTTCCATCGAAGACATCCCAGGAGCAGTTTCCCTGGCATCGCCTAAAAATATAGAAATTAACTCAAATTCTGCTACATATATCAACAACCAACCTACCTCTCACTGGCTTCTTCTTGGAACAAGTGAACAGCCAAAACCTAAAATGAAAAATCTGTACATTCTTTGTTCTATTTATATAACATGCTAAATCATATAAAATTCTTACTGACTAAACTCATGTATAGCCAACAACTCGGGAAAATAAAAGGTATTTCCAAATGTGTCACTCCATCAAGCTATGCAAGAAAAACCGAATGTAGTGTTTAAGTATTCAGATAAACCATAGATATGAAAAACCATTTAGAAATAAGTTATGAATTGAACACATTACCATTGTCAGTCCTTCTAGTTTTATTTCCAACGTTTGTCTTCATATCTGGTGTCTCCATCTTCTCGTTCAAATTCTTCACATCATTTTGAATCACTTTGAAAGCGTCATCAACAAATCTTCCCCTTTCTTCCAAAGGAACACTAGAAACACTCTTCTGCTTATCAGCATCCTGATCATTCACTTGTTTATCTTCACTTAACATTTGCGCTTGATCAGAACCATCACTTCCATAATCTTGAGCTGTTTCCTCACTCGCTGAGCCCTTCTTTATTGCATCAGAAGCTTTCCAATTTCGGGTCCCTGGAAATCCCTTGGGAGTTTTTGTAGCCTTTGCAGAAGGGCTTCTAAATTTAAACTTCTTCTTAAACACCAATGCATCGTCTCCCTCATTCATATTCTTATTGACACCCCTATCCATTCCAGCAGCAAAATTCTCACTAGCATTCGTCTGTAACGCTTTGTTCATATCGTTAGCCCTAACATTTAACTTATTTAACCTATTCTGCAGGTTTATCAATCGCTCACTAATCTCTTTCTCAATATCATCTCTACGACTAGAAACAGCACGTTCATCGTCATCAATTTCAACATCTTCATCCTCCATATCCTCTTCCCCTTTCTTCTCCGATTCAAGTCGCCGCGCTTCCTTCGCCATTAGCCTAATTTCCTCGATTTGCTCCACAATTAAAAGTTGTTCCCCAGAAACATCATTAACCGGGAATGACACGGTCTTCCCATCCTCACTTTCCCTTCCATCAATCTCCAAATCTCCATATTGGCGCTTGTGCTTGTAATTCCCTATAGCCCAAACGGCGTAAATCGTCTGTAACACCAGACTCCCCAGAAAATACAAAGCCCCGTATTTGAAGATATCTTCCATGGAAACCTTCTCAAAAACACCATTCTCCCTCGCGGCAACCTCAGAAACCTGAAACTCTTTCATATTTTCAGATTCCCCGGCGAGCGTCTCGTTGGAGGGAATTTCCTCGCCGAGGTTGTTGTTTTCTTGTGGAATGGCGACAGGATATGGCGGCGTGGGCGAAGATAGAAGAGGGAGTGAAAGTGGGTAGGGTTTGGTTTGGGTTCTGAGAATTTTGGGGCGCAAATGGTTTTTCCTCTGCCGTTTTGAACAAACTGGAATACGACGAAGGGTTCGTCCGTTAGCGTGAGACGTCAGAAGAGACGAGAGTGCGTATTGCGCACTCGCCATTGGCACGAGGAAAGTGGAAGCTCGGTGAGATTTCGAAACCTCAGTGAGGATGCTTGTTGCTTAGGTCAGTTTCTTCCTCCATAAGAAGCAACAGGAGAAGGAGCTAAGCTCGCGTTCAGTTACAGTTGGTCTATACCGTTGAAGAATTCACCGTAATAATCGTTCCTGGTCTGACCCTGCCCTGAGTCCTGCTTGGGCCTGCTTTGGCCCAACTTATTACCCGCGTCCTTTCGTTTTGGCCCAACTGCTTTTTGTCTTTAAATATGTCCGAAAGGATAGGTTGTCGAAATCTCGGATTTTGAATTTTGTATGCCCAGTCTCAATCCCGCACCTCATGGCTTCTTCAGACTCAAAGGGACTCCTCTTCTTCGCCAACTCTCTCCCTCTTCAAATTCGAGCTCCTCTTACCCTCGAAGACGATGATTCCGAAGCCGACGTTTCAAGTAATGGCACACTTTCTCAATCTGATTACACCTCCCAAGGAGAACAAGGACAAGAAGAGCAAGAAGAAGATTTCGTTGAAGTTGGTGAGTGTGTGGAGCTATCTCCCATGCACGCTGCACCTTTGCATGCTACTCCCTTTGCTCATTTGTCTACTTTTAATGACGAAGAAGAGGAAGAAGAAGAAGCAGTTAGAGGGAATATGTTTAGTCTTGCGAGAGTGTCGGGGAACAATTTTAATGCGCCCAGAATTGATCTTGTGGACTCCGAAGAAGAAAATTACGCGCCTTCTGTTTTTGTAAACTCGTTACGTGTTAGTCAATCATTGCTAGCGAATGATTTTGAATCTTTCAGTGGTAGTGACAGCGAGGAACTGTTTTTGGATGATGAGCAAGGTCAGGACCAAGTTCTTGGAATTAGGGTTGCGTGTGATGAATACTCGACCTCTGGTGCAACGCATTCAGATGTTATGTCGCAGCATTCACAGGACGAACAATTTGGCTTGGCAAGAGTGGTGTTCGATGATTTGGGGAGTGATAAGTTGAATGAGACTGAGGGTGTTGAGGATTATGAAGATTATAGCAACAGCTTAAGGCAGGAACGGGATATGAGTTTCAATGATCCACCAGAACATAATTTCCAAGTACATTGCATGGCGGGTGAACCTGTGTATGAAGCTTTTGCGGAAAATGTTGAGTACGGTACACTAACTCAAACCACTGAAGCTACTGCAGATGGAGGTGTTGCTGCTGATCAAGTGAGTGACTGTGAGAATCTGGTAAGTATAACTACATCTGGGGTAAACTCAAATTCTGAATTTCACGATTCTTCTGCTGGTTTTGAATCCAATTATGGTGCTTTTGAAGGCAACAAAACTCTTAGTGTTGAATCTTCTGAACTTTATCCCACACTTCTTCCAGAATGTTATTTGGAAAAGGATTTGTCTAAATCCAGTTTAGGGGTTAATCCAGAAGATGAGCTGTTTTGTGATTATCATTCACATGAAAATGCGGAAAAACTTGATTTGGAGTACACTGCAAAAGAAGAGACCACCGATGAGTTAAATTCCGCATGTCAAGAATCAGAAACTGAAAGTTGTGCTTCAGATGGAGATGCAGGGTTGATGTCGGTTGCCCTTGAGCAGTTCAAGGAACAAATTTCAGCTCTCTCTATTCTTTTGGGTAAAAAAGGTTCTGGAAATGATTCTCAAGGAATACGAGTCATCAGGAGTTCACATGAAGCGATTAACTTACCAAAGGATGATGCAAAAGTTCGATTTATCTATGCTGATGGTGATACTGAATCAGATGGCAATTCAGGTACAGTTACCTCCACTGATGAATCCAGTGTGATCTTTCTGGAAGTTCCAGGTAGTCTCAGCTCCTTACCATATAGCAATGCTCGAACCGGTTTCCAGCAGAGCATAACTGAGAAAGAAAAGGAAAAAATTCAGAACACGCAGACCATAAGTGTGAAGTTCTTGAGGCTTGTCCAGCGAGTAAATTTATCTCTGGAAGATTCCTTGGTTTCTAAAGTTTTGTATAGGTTGGTTGCAGATATTGAAAGGCGCTTGAATCAGGAATTTGTCATAAGATCAGCAAAAACATTAGCGAAGAAGTTTGAAGAAAGTTGTCCGGATGATATAGACTTCTCTTTGAACATTCTAGTTCTTGGGGAAAGTGGGGTGGGAAAGAGTGCAACCATAAATTCTATTTTTGGTGAAATGAAGGTTGTGACAAATGCATTTGAACCTGCCACAACTTCTGTAGAAGAGGTTTGTGGAACTATAGATGGAATCAAGATCAGAATCCTTGACACACCTGGTCTGAAGTCCTCTATGAAGGAGCAAGCTTACAACAGAAAGGTGTTGTCCTGTATAGAGAGGTATATGAAAAAGTTTCCTCCAGATGTCATTCTTTATGTTGATCGAGCAGATTTCCAGACCAGAGACTTAAACGATTTACCGATAATAAGGTCAATCACAAGTTCTCTGGGTCCCTCAATATGGCAACGTGCAATTCTTGCTCTGACACATGCTGCCTCTGTTCCTTTGGATGGATCATCAGGATCCCCTTTGAGCTATGAAGTATTTGTTGCTCAAAAATCCTATCTTGTTCAACAGTCAATCACTATAGCCGTACGTAATCTGTGTCAATTGAGTCCAAGTTTCATGTGTCCAGTGGCCCTTGTTGAAAACCATCCATTATGTGGAAAGAATGTGTCAGGGGACTGTGTGCTTCCCAGTGGACTTAGATGGAGAAGCCAATTATTAGCTTTGTGTTTCTCTCTGAAGATCTTATCTGAAGTGTCTTCTGTTTCAAGACCTGAAACGCTCTTCGATCATTGGAAGCACTTTTTCTTCCAGGACCATTCCCAACCTCTGTGCCATGTAATTTCTTCGTTGTTGCAGTCTCCTGCTCATTTAAAATTTTCTGCCAATTGGAATTGACCTAGACATTCACTTGGCAGATGATTTTGTTGAATATTAGATTTGATAGCTGAATTCACGTCTCAGCTTTTCTGTGATGTCAATTCTCGGTAGTCATGCCACTACCGGGACCATGATCTTAAGGGTCATCATGTTAGCATTAGTAGCTGTGTTGCTGATTTCTGTTTCAAACCTTAGCCACTGAAAGTAATGCATTTGTTGAGAGGACTTACGGGGTAATAAACAACAGTGTCATGGCATTATAACTTGGTTTGCATGTCATTGCTGTTAGAAAATTCCACGATTGTACTTCTTTTAAAAACATGGAAGCATATGTTCCCACGTCTGAAGTGTTGAATTCAATGATTGTGTGATACTGTCAAATTTAATTTAAAGTGTTTAATGGTGTTTTGTAATGTAGGTGTTATGCAATACAGCAAAGCAGTTAAAATAACGAGAAGTAATTAATAAAGTACTATTAATCAAATCATCTCATTGAGCACATAGTCCATAGTTTAATAAATTGGAAAACAGTTTTTCCATGCCAGGTACACTTAATAATTGGTTTCAAAATTTTATTTTTTATTAAATATTATTTAATAAGTCAAAAAATTTAATAAATCTTTTTTATTATTAATATTGGTAATATTATTTATGAAAATATTAATATTGATAATATTATTTAATAATAAAGTAATTTAAACAATAAAGGATCATAATTTCTAAATATATTTGTCATTATAATAAACTATTTTATTATGATTTTGTATGCATATTTATTTAATAATTTCATTCTTTTAATAATAAATATTATTATATATGAGGTAGAGTGATATATTTGTCATTTTTAATATTACAAAAATGTTTAACAAATATTAAGAATAAAATTTTAATATACAAATTATACTTTCAAAAAATAGTATTTAAGCCTAAGAATAATAATAACATTATGTTTTTACTAAATTTTATAAGTTGACAATAATGTCAAAGAATAGACTAATAAACTCGAAAAAAATTACTTAGACACATGCACAAAAAGAATTTTTGAACTCATTTTTCGAATCCTTTGAAGTAGCATAACAATACAATAATAAATTTTTATTAATAAAATCTTTAAATATAATCTGTCTTCATATAATGAAATCACTATTCAATCCTATAAAATAGAGATTTAATATTAAAAAATGAAAAATATTGTAAAAATACAAGAATATGACACAATTTTAATATTAGTAAAAATTAATATTTGTAATAATAAAAAAAAATAAAAAATAAAATAATTTAATGAGCGAATATTATAGTCTCAGTGTGAGATAATGATTATTTGTTATTAATGTCTCATACATACATAACATTACTTTTTGTTTTCAGTTCTTTGTGAAACAATTATGTATTGTTTTATACAAAAAAAACTCATTGAAAGGTATATTATTTAAGAAAATTAATATATATATATATATATATATATATATATATATATATGTATACAAATGAATATTACATTTTGTTCATAGTAAATATTTAAAAAAATACGAATACACAAAATAATAAATAACTCTTTTATAATAAATAATTATTTAAATTTAAAGAAGCTACTAAAATAAAAAATAACTTTTTTTAACATGAATGTGTATGAAAATGTCCCCATGCTTTATAAGTAAATTTTACTTACAAAGTTATATAATTTTTAAGGTTAAATATACTTTTGTTCTTCTTCAAAATTTTGATTTAATTTAATTTATTAATTTTAAAAAATATATAAATTTAATTATTTTAAACTAATTTTATTAATTTAATTTAAAATTTAATTAGTTTAAAATTTTGAAAAGAAACTAATTTTATTTTTAATCTAAAGTTAAGAACCAGAAACATATTTCAACTCTAATTTTTAATTTTTATTTGTTGAAAAATAAACATATATGTTTTATGAATAAAGGAGTTAGTAATAATAATTTTTAATTTTTATTTGTTAAAAAAGAAACATATATGTTTTGTGAATAAAGGAGTTAGTAATAAGATGAAAACTAACCTTTTTTTATTCATTCAATTTAAGTTAAGCAATCACTTTAACAAATTTAATATTAAAACTAATTTTATATAATATTTTCAAATTTACATGACATTATAGGGATCACAAAAATAAAACAAAAACATGGTATCAATGCCACATCAAATATTTATTCGATTGCAATGACTAATACGAAAAAAAAATTAATATATATATATATTTAAAAGAAAAATTAAGTAGTTATAAAAAACATTATTTATTTAACAGAGACTAATACACGTGTAATTTTAATTCGTGCATTAATTTATATGTAATTTTTTTATTTATAACAAATGGAGTTAATCTAGTATTTATAATCTAGTATTTATTTAAAGTGTGGCGAGTAATGGTTTGAAAATCCTAACACAAAACTCTGTGAATTTGCTCTGTGCTTTTGTTTTGAATTTTTGCATACACAATTTTGTAAAATTAACTCTTGTTATACGAACATTTGTCATATACTTAAGGCAGTGGTTTATTATAATTTTTTTTAAGAGAATTTATCATGAAATTTACATATTAAAAATTAAATAATATAGACAGCAATTTTGAGAGAACAAATTCGAAACAAGTTATCTACTCGTTTTGAGGAGTAGTAATAGACAATAGTTGTTGGCGAAAAGACGAACGCAAGAAAGAAATGGTAGTGAGTGTGGTTTAGGTTGGAGAATCCGAGTTATCCGAATGATGAATGATGAATGAATGAATGAATCTTCGTTTCTTCCTCACTCAGTTGAGCTGAGTTGAGTGCTTTCCATCATGTCTCTTCTCAAATCCCTCACTTCAAATTCCTCTGCTTTCAATTTCAAACCAACGCAATCCACCATGGCGCATTCCTCTCCTTACAAGGTACGCCATCTACTATTTAATGCTTCGTTTTTAACCCACTGTGATGCGTTTCATAAATAACACGGTTAAGTTTGACATTCTGTTTATTATTTTGTTCAATTCACACTTTGTCACAGTGGATTGATCACCTTGTGTTCGTAATAGTTACGTTTTTTTTCTGCGTTTAGCCAATGAAATCAAATTTCTCCTGTTAGTCACGCATTGACGTGTACGGTGGCCTTTTAGACTTTTTTTAGCTTGAGATAGACGATGTGCTCGATGAATTGTCTAAGTGAGAATTCAAATTATTGTTTGCTTTTCCCAGGGTGAGGTGTTTCTGAAGCTTTCCCTTCATTGTTTTAACTTCTTTTTAAAATCGTGGATTATGCTTGCGTTGGTGTTCTAGTCTTCCTGAGAACGCCGTTCGTCTCACAGTTGCAACAAAATAAAAAAAATCTGCCCAAAAATATTTGTTGTTCCCAAGAATTATTGTTGACGTGTTTTTTTGCAAGTTTTTCAAAATGTGGTGGTTGAGTATATATTAAAGTATGTGAATTTGGCAACATTTTCTTTTGCAAATAATTCTCTATATGGTTTGGTGTGTGTGTGTCTCTCTCTCTTTGTTGTAGTAACCTGTATTACAACGGTGTGACATGCTTTTTTAACATTCTCAGGTGCTACTACGAACAGCTTGTTCCTCTTCCAGGGGAACTAACTCTGTTGGCTTGTTTTATTCCCGAGGGATCTCATCAGTTAAAGTGGTATCTATCACAAACGTATCAAACTATTGTTCTTATTCGAGGGACAATATATGTTCTTCAAAGCGAAGATCACGAGGGCCAGTGATGGCAGGAAAGAAAGCTTCGGAAGGTAGTCTATTTTCTATTTCACATTACTTTGGACTCCTTTTTTTCTAAGCCGTTGCTGCTTGTCCTGTTTATTTCCTTAGGAGTCAAGCAAGAAGATGGAAAATACAAGCACACTGTTGATCTTCCCAAGACAACATTTGGTATGAGAGCTAATTCTTCAGTAAGGGAGCCTGAAATTCAGAAAATTTGGGAAGAGAATCAAGTATTCAAGAAAGTTGTTGAGAAAAATAGCGGAGTAAGTTTTGGATCGTCCTGTCACCTGTTTAACTCCTAGCTATTTGAACGCATTAACCTATTCTAAATTACTTGATCAGGCAAATTTTATTCTTCATGATGGCCCTCCATATGCTAATGGTGATCTTCACATAGGGCATGCCTTAAATAAAATTTTGAAGGATATTATAAATCGTTATAAGGTATGTTTAATTGCTATCGTAATGTAACATTTGAAGCATATATATTTTTTTTATTATGTCTGACACGTGCGACAATACATTTTGCATNATATATGTATACAAATGAATATTACATTTTGTTCATAGTAAATATTTAAAAAAATACGAATACACAAAATAATAAATAACTCTTTTATAATAAATAATTATTTAAATTTAAAGAAGCTACTAAAATAAAAAATAACTTTTTTTAACATGAATGTGTATGAAAATGTCCCCATGCTTTATAAGTAAATTTTACTTACAAAGTTATATAATTTTTAAGGTTAAATATACTTTTGTTCTTCTTCAAAATTTTGATTTAATTTAATTTATTAATTTTAAAAAATATATAAATTTAATTATTTTAAACTAATTTTATTAATTTAATTTAAAATTTAATTAGTTTAAAATTTTGAAAAGAAACTAATTTTATTTTTAATCTAAAGTTAAGAACCAGAAACATATTTCAACTCTAATTTTTAATTTTTATTTGTTGAAAAATAAACATATATGTTTTATGAATAAAGGAGTTAGTAATAATAATTTTTAATTTTTATTTGTTAAAAAAGAAACATATATGTTTTGTGAATAAAGGAGTTAGTAATAAGATGAAAACTAACCTTTTTTTATTCATTCAATTTAAGTTAAGCAATCACTTTAACAAATTTAATATTAAAACTAATTTTATATAATATTTTCAAATTTACATGACATTATAGGGATCACAAAAATAAAACAAAAACATGGTATCAATGCCACATCAAATATTTATTCGATTGCAATGACTAATACGAAAAAAAAATTAATATATATATATATTTAAAAGAAAAATTAAGTAGTTATAAAAAACATTATTTATTTAACAGAGACTAATACACGTGTAATTTTAATTCGTGCATTAATTTATATGTAATTTTTTTATTTATAACAAATGGAGTTAATCTAGTATTTATAATCTAGTATTTATTTAAAGTGTGGCGAGTAATGGTTTGAAAATCCTAACACAAAACTCTGTGAATTTGCTCTGTGCTTTTGTTTTGAATTTTTGCATACACAATGTTGTAAAATTAACTCTTGTTATACGAACATTTGTCATATACTTAAGGCAGTGGTTTATTATAATTTTTTTTAAGAGAATTTATCATGAAATTTACATATTAAAAATTAAATAATATAGACAGCAATTTTGAGAGAACAAATTCGAAACAAGTTATCTACTCGTTTTGAGGAGTAGTAATAGACAATAGTTGTTGGCGAAAAGACGAACGCAAGAAAGAAATGGTAGTGAGTGTGGTTTAGGTTGGAGAATCCGAGTTATCCGAATGATGAATGATGAATGAATGAATGAATCTTCGTTTCTTCCTCACTCAGTTGAGCTGAGTTGAGTGCTTTCCATCATGTCTCTTCTCAAATCCCTCACTTCAAATTCCTCTGCTTTCAATTTCAAACCAACGCAATCCACCATGGCGCATTCCTCTCCTTACAAGGTACGCCATCTACTATTTAATGCTTCGTTTTTAACCCACTGTGATGCGTTTCATAAATAACACGGTTAAGTTTGACATTCTGTTTATTATTTTGTTCAATTCACACTTTGTCACAGTGGATTGATCACCTTGTGTTCGTAATAGTTACGTTTTTTTTCTGCGTTTAGCCAATGAAATCAAATTTCTCCTGTTAGTCACGCATTGACGTGTACGGTGGCCTTTTAGACTTTTTTTAGCTTGAGATAGACGATGTGCTCGATGAATTGTCTAAGTGAGAATTCAAATTATTGTTTGCTTTTCCCAGGGTGAGGTGTTTCTGAAGCTTTCCCTTCATTGTTTTAACTTCTTTTTAAAATCGTGGATTATGCTTGCGTTGGTGTTCTAGTCTTCCTGAGAACGCCGTTCGTCTCACAGTTGCAACAAAATAAAAAAAATCTGCCCAAAAACATTTGTTGTTCCCAAGAATTATTGTTGACGTGTTTTTTTGCAAGTTTTTCAAAATGTGGTGGTTGAGTAAATATTAAAGTATGTGAATTTGGCAACATGTTCTTTTGCAAATAATTCTCTATATGGTTTGGTGTGTGTGTGTCTCTCTCTCTGTGTTGTAGTAACCTGTATTACAACGGTGTGACATGCTTTTTTAACATTCTCAGGTGCTACTACGAACAGCTTGTTCCTCTTCCAGGGGAACTAACTCTGTTGGCTTGTTTTATTCCCGAGGGATCTCATCAGTTAAAGTGGTATCTATCACAAACGTATCAAACTATTGTTCTTATTCGAGGGACAATATATGTTCTTCAAAGCGAAGATCACGAGGGCCAGTGATGGCAGGAAAGAAAGCTTCGGAAGGTAGTCTATTTTCTATTTCACATTACTTTGGACTCCTTTTTTTCTAAGCCGTTGCTGCTTGTCCTGTTTATTTCCTTAGGAGTCAAGCAAGAAGATGGAAAATACAAGCACACTGTTGATCTTCCCAAGACAACATTTGGTATGAGAGCTAATTCTTCAGTAAGGGAGCCTGAAATTCAGAAAATTTGGGAAGAGAATCAAGTATTCAAGAAAGTTGTTGAGAAAAATAGCGGAGTAAGTTTTGGATCGTCCTGTCACCTGTTTAACTCCTAGCTATTTGAACGCATTAACCTATTCTAAATTACTTGATCAGGCAAATTTTATTCTTCATGATGGCCCTCCATATGCTAATGGTGATCTTCACATAGGGCATGCCTTAAATAAAATTTTGAAGGATATTATAAATCGTTATAAGGTATGTTTAATTGCTATCGTAATGTAACATTTGAAGCATATATATTTTTTTTATTATGTCTGACACGTGCGACAATACATTTTGCATTCTAAATTGCTGAAATAATCTCAAGTAGGCACCAAACGCTGATATTTTGAGAATATTTTACTTTTTTTTGTCTGCAGGTTCTTCAAAATTATAAAGTTAATTTTATACCTGGATGGGATTGTCATGGTCTACCAATTGAATTAAAAGGCAAGTATTAATGTTAGTATAATCATATGTGGTTAGTTCTGATACTATGTTGTATTCAAGAGTGTGTTGTGTTGATCCTTCCTTTTTGTGTTTGGCACATGTCAAAGTTGAATGACGTCTTGAATTATCGAGATAGTTCTTATATTCAATAATTTTGTGTTATGCGTTTTATTAATAAATGCATTTGGAGTAGCTGCAGATGTCAATAAAATGTAAATGTTGTGAAGCGAACCCTTTGTTGTAGAAAGTACATTTTTTGCATTAAGTGATTCTTGGATTACATATGTATTTTTAATTTCTCAAATTAACAATTAAAATTTTAGGCATCTCCCTTTTGATCCCCGTTTTTGTTTTGGAAATAAGTGCGGTCTTGTTTTGGCTTATAGTCAATGTAGGCAACAGCAAGCCCTTCTATATTGTAAATGTATTGGTGAATTTTATGAGTTATGCATATGCTATAGGGTGAAAAGGAGGGAACACTGATTATTATGTTTCTCAGGCATTATGATTTATTGAATACAGAATGAGCCTTGACATGTAAGAGTAAGAGTGCTAGAATTCAATGTATATTTTTTTAGTTTTGTGATCTTGGTTTTACCGGACCTTGTTTTTAGGAATTCAAATTTTTTGCTCCCCTACATTTCTAACATGTTTCCAATATTAGAGAAATTGTTGATTTAATTCTTGCTTAGGAATACATTGAATGATTTAGGCTGTTTAGATGAAAGTTGGCCACATGATTTTGGGAATTCCAATGCACACTCCTGAATTCCTAAGCCCAAAATGAAGAAGAAAGACTTTTTTTTCTGAGAGTGAAAGCTCTCCCGAGTTGATAGAGGAATGGAATTCTCAAGTGAATTTAGAATATTAAGATGGCTTTATATTTGGATATCTGATCTGAAGATATTTTTTTTAATCTGTTAGAGTTTTATAGGATTTCTTTCTAGTATAATGAAATGATCTCAAATAAAAGAATCAGAAATTCTTTCCTTCTTCCATTATCTCATCATCAACTCTTTCCTCAATTCTGGTGCATGTTTGCCTCACTCTCTCCTCCCAACTTTCTCTCTTTCACTAACTCACATGACTCTCCTCTCTGTCATCTACACCTTTTTTCCAGTCTCTATTTCACATTTCCTTTCTCTCTCTTTCTTCTGCACCTATCTTTCCTATTATCTTCTATGAGCACAAAATCAAACATGGACACACCTAAGGCCTAAAATATAGGATAAGTGCTAGTTGAAAAAAATGTCCGACTCCATGACACTTCTAAGTTGAGGTATGCGTGATTAATCCTCTTGCACATCTCTCTCTCTCTCTCTCTCTCTCTCTTTCTCTCCCACACTTCTCTTATCCCTGTCTACTGGCAAATAAGTAATAGGATAAAAGTTTGCACTTTTTTTAAAAATGAAAATTTATGAATTATTTTTTTGGTTAAACATTACTTTCGTTGTCTCAAATTACGTTGAAATCAAAATACTTCATGGCTGTTTGAATTATTTCAGTTTTGCAGTCACTGGATCAAAAGGCCAGAAGTGACCTCACACCGTTAAAGTTGAGAGCAAAGGCTGCTAAATTTGCCAAAGAAACTGTTAAGAAACAGATGTCATCTTTTAAGGTCCCTTCTCTATTTTTCATTTATCTTCTTTTTATTGTAATGTTTTTTGTTTAGTTATACAAAATTAACAATTTCACATTTATTTTTTATTCTAATTAGTAGGGATTATGTAACTTAAGCATGTTACTAAATGTTTGCAGCGCTATGGAGTTTGGGCAGACTGGAATGATCCCTATCTCACTCTAGACCCCGAATATGAAGCAGCCCAGGTAGCTGGTACAGCCTTTCTCATTTACCCTGACATGCGTGTTAGTCAAACATGATTTTAGCACTTCAATGTGTGCTATCAACTATAACAGAATGCGTATCAATGGTCAAGCAAACAACCAAATAATTAGTATATTTAACAGGAATGCTGTTTTTTTTTACTTTAGTTTTTCTTTCTCTGGTGCTTGACTTCAAACTGTATTACTGGTTATTGTTATGCAACCCTCTTAATTTGTTCTTATAATTTTCTAGATTGAAGTGTTTGGCCAGATGGCCTTGAAAGGCTATATATACAGAGGAAGAAAACCTGTTCACTGGAGTCCTTCATCACGAACAGCACTTGCTGAGGCTGAGTTGGAGGTATAATGATATACCATTATGTTATTCTTCTTAATATGAACCATAAATCCTAAATATTAATGCTTCTAATATGTGTATAGTGTGGGTAGAACTTGCATAGCTTTATATACGTATACATACAAAGATCATATACATTTCTGTCTACATATATGCATGCAGTTTCTCTCTAAAGTCTGATCTGATGGAGCTTGGAGTATTTACATTTCTACCTGTTTGATTTCTATGTAGTACCCTGAAAAGCATGTTTCAAGAAGCATATATGCCAGTTTTAGAGTTGTGAGTGCTCCTTTAACATCAAGTTCCCTACTACAAGAATTTCCAAATTTGTGCTTGGCTGTATGGACCACAACTCCCTGGACTATTCCGGCCAATGCAGGTATGTTTCTTATTTAGTCGTATTTTTCATGTTAGCTTATTGTTTCTGAATTCCTTTTACGGTTCCTATGATTTTAGTGGTTTTAATTTCCCCATCTTATACTTATTTCGTTCACAAAGTCTCTATGATAAACAGAATTACATATTTTTCTTAATTTCTGTATCCATGATTTTTTATAATGTTTAACTGAATCATTTGATATAATAGGCATGCTACTTAACACGCTGTAGTCAATGCAGGTTGTCCTTTTTCCAATATCTTGTACATGATTAATTCTTGTTAACTATTTGGCACATAAAAATATAGTGTATTATTTTTTGCCCAAAAGTATGAATTATCCCCAAAAATTGTTATAAGTTATAAGTACTCAAAGATTAACTCATTTTTGTTCTTAAATGTTTTTGAATTTGACCGTCTTATATCACTCCTCTTCTTTACCTGCATTCTACTGTTCTACACTCAGCTGTTGCGGTGAATCCTAAGCTCGAATATGCTGTTGTTGAAATAAAGTCATTACTGGAGCCTGACCCAGCAACTGGTGGAAAAAAAAAGAAAGGTCTTGGGCTTTTTTTGGAGGATGAGAAGAAGCCAAATCTTATTGTGGCTTCAGACCTTGTGCCAAGTTTAGAGGCAAAATGGGGTGTGAAGCTTGTTGTCAAGACAAAACAATTGGGTTCAGAGTTGGAAAACTACAGGTTGTTGGAAGTATGCAAATTAATGATTATTTTCTTTTACTTCATTTTTGATTTTGCTGTTATTTCCATAATACTTCATGTTAGTAATTGTTTTACTTTTTACAATATTGGGGGAAGAAAACTTTACGCTGAGGGTATACATTGTTGTCTCAGGTATATCCATCCAATAGATGATAGGGAATGTCCTGTTGTGATTGGTGGCGATTATATTACAACAGCAACAGGAACAGGACTGGTCCACACAGCTCCTGGGCATGGTCAGGAGGATTACGTGACTGGCCAGAAATATGGACTGCCCATATTTTCTCCAGTAGATGATGATGGAAAGTTCACTGAAGAAGCTGGGCAATTTAGTGGGCTTGATGTTCTTGGTGAAGGTAACACTGCTGTTGTAAAATACTTGGATGAACATCTCTCACTCATCATGGAAGAATCATATGGTAAGTTTGTTCTGTCACTAATCATAAGAATTCTGTAAATAACTATTGACTATATCATCATCATTCCCCATCTTCTCTGATACAGAACACAAGTATCCATATGACTGGCGAACAAAAAAACCAACAATATTTAGAGCAACAGAGCAGTGGTTTGCATCTGTGGAGGGATTTCGCCATGCTGCTATGGATGCTATTAATCATGTAAAATGGGTTCCGGCTCAGGTATGCTGTTTTACTTTTCAAGTTTCTGTTGATGTATGATATCATTTTTTTGTAACATGTATTCTCTTAGAGATGTGCCACTTGTCATATTTGTTACTGATATACTTGAATTCCTTAGGCAGAAAATAGAATCTCAGCAATGACTTCTTGCCGCTCAGACTGGTGCATATCACGACAAAGGACATGGGGCGTCCCCATTCCAGTATTTTATCATATTCAGTCTAGAGAACCTCTTATGAATGAAGAGACAATTGATCATATAAAATGTAAGAGCCCGAATGTGGTAAATTTCTTTTTTCTTAATTCTCAAGAGTATAAACTATCAGTTTAGTATTTTTTTTTTGTACATGTACCATCTCAAATGTTAATGGACAGCACAATGATTTATTCTATGTAGTTGAATGCAGTGGTAAATATTTAAAATTGCTTAACGGGTTGTGCCTATCTAAAAATGCTTGTTCTGTGGAGGTAATTAGATAATGAAATTGATCTTTTATTTTAATTTGATGCTTTTTCAGCTATCATAGCCCAAAAGGGTGGTGATGCATGGTGGTACATGACTGTAGAGGATCTTCTTCCAAGTAAATATCGTGATAAGGCAGCAGAATATGAAAAGGGAACTGACACAATGGATGTATGGTTTGATTCAGGTACAATACTCTTGTCCAAGTAGTGCTTTTCCCCAAATGCATGGTTTCATGTGTTTCTCAACCACTCCCATTTTCATTTTTGTGTTCAGGGACTGTTCTACACGTTTAATTAATTGAATTTTTTTTAGATCAAGTTATTTGTTGATGTTCCTTTTTCTTATTACTCTTTTGACCTCAGTCACATGAATTGAGTCTAGGACCTTAATCCTTAATCCACGACTCCCAACCCTCAGCTTCTTGAGCAATGCTGATGTTTCCTTTGGCTTTTTACTTCTGACTTCAGGTTCCTCCTGGGCTGCAGTCTTGGGAAAAAGAGATTCCCTTAGTTATCCTGCAGACTTGTATCTTGAAGGAACAGATCAGCATCGAGGGTGGTTTCAAAGTTCTTTGTTAACAAGTGTAGCTACGAAAGGTAATAGGCCGCTGGACTTATTTTATCATATTGATTATCTTTAAGACTTTTACTATTTGTCCCCTTTTTGGTTTTATCAGGAGTAATGTTCTATATCTCACACTGGTGAGGCAAATGTTTTTTCCTGATTGATATTTCGTTGATAGGTTGGTTCTGTTTTCAAATCAATCTCACTTTCCTTGCTATGCTAAGCAACACTGGAGATTACATGCACAACACCATTAGTGGATTTTTTCTTTGTTTGTTCACATTGTATAGTTCAACTGCATAATGCCTGCAGATAAAGATGTATACTTGTGTTTGGCTGTGTTTGAGAAGGTCTCGTATGTTTATACATTAGTTGGAATTGAGATCCATGTGATGATTAGTAGAATGTAATTTAGCAAGTGTGATGTTATTTGTAGTTTTTCAGCAGAGAATACTCTTTATACAGATAAGTTTCTGGGACAGCAAGTTTCTGTCATTTTTTAGTCTGATCTGTTGAATCAGTGGGAAGGGAAATCTGTGAGGTATGCCAGGTGATATTTGGGATGGCGTTTTGATTGTTGTAAGATTTGTTGGTTTGAATAATCAGAAAAATATCAAGCTGATGTGGTACAAATGGATGAGATGATTGGACACATGGAAGAGAACCGTCTCTTTGAGATGTGTTGGAAGTCCCACATCGACTAGAGATAAGGCCAATTTATAATATATAAGTGAGGTGCAAATCTCACCTTACAAGCCGGTTTTGGGGGTTGAGTTGAGTTAGGCTAAAACCCACTTTCTAAATATGGTATCAGAGCCATGGTTAGTGCTATCCTAGCAAGTTTCTAAGTGGACATTCTATTCTTCTATTCCACCCGCAATCGGGCCGCTATTGGACCACCAATTTCTACTATTCACGCACGAGATGTCTATACCTCGGCGTGAAGTGGGTGTGTTGGAAGTCCCACATCGACTAGAGATACGGCCAATTTATAATATATAATGAGGTGCAAACCTTCACCCTTACAAGCCGGTTGGGGGGTTGAGTAGGCTTTAAAAAACCCACTTCTAATATGGTATTCAGAGCCATGGTTAGTGACTATCCTAGCGAGTTCTAAGGGACATTCGATTCTTCATTCCACCCGCTTATCGTGGACGTTATCGGACCACCCAATTTCTACTATCACGCACGAGATGTCTATACCTCGGCGTGAAGGGGGTGTGTTGGAAGTCCCACATCGACTAAAGATAAGGTCAAATTATAATATATAAGTGAGGTGCAAACCTCACCCTACAAGCCGGTTTTGTGGGGTTGAGTTAGGCTTAAAAACCCACTTTCTAATAAGATGTAAAGGCTTTAGGGAAGAGAACCACGGTGGAAGATGAGAGTTGCAATCATAAGTAAATATCCTTTAAGCCAGGACTCGAATTTGAATATCCAAGGTTGGAGAGTACTGTATGGCTATTAAAATAGTGGAACTGCCGTCCTTTACTGAGAAGAGCCTGTGGGATGGATGACTAGGGCAGAAACATACTTTGGAGCAGTGCAAAATACTTTAGAAGTGAAGATCAAATTGATTATTATGAAGGGATTAACTATCAGTTGCTTAAATATTTTGAGAGAAACAGAAGTGTTGTCACTTGGTGGAAATTAAGGGTTCTAATTGCTTAGTGTTTAGAGAAGTGGTAGAGAAGGTTTGAGAACCCCATATATGAGGAATTAGCAACCTTGAGATAATTAGCGATTTGTTGACCAAGTCCCGCATCGACTAGAAATACTAAGTGGCAATTTATAGTATATAAGTGGGTGCAAACCTCACCTTACAAGCCGGTTTTGTAGGAGTTGAGTTAGGCTTAAAGTCCACTTCTTAACAGGATTCTGGGAGGCAGAACTGGGAGAAAGTTTCTGTAACTACTGTAGCCATGCCGAATAGTAGTTGCTTAGTTTGAATGAATGACGTAATCTTTTAATGATAGTTTAAAAAAAGACCTTACATCGTCTTCAATTTCAACTGGCAGGAAGAATGAGGAGTGGAATTTTTTGGACAAAATATGGGGCCATGACATTTATCCAATCAAGAAACTTAGGGAGAGAAAAACCCAAAGGTTTATGTTATTCAGTGGGAGAGAAATCCCACCCTTTACACCAATGCTGGGAGAAATAGTTATGACTGGTGATTTTGGGAGATAATGAGGTCCTAAATGAAGAAGTAATTGCTGTTGAAGTGAGTAAATAGAGTAAGGGAGAATCTTTTTCCTACGTTCACATTGGGAACAAGACTTATTTTTCAACTCCCAAAAATGTTGGGAACCAAGATCCATGGGTTAGGAAGAATCCATCCATGTATTTATACACGACAAAACATCTTGTATTAGCAATTATGCATTAATTCTGTTTAGAAACTGTGTGATGGCAGTATTCAAAGAAAATAACTGATGTAAGCATGGTATTGATTATAGCTTATAGTAGGGTG